TTCGAAAACACGGATAATTTTGAACAAAGTAGCCTCGAAAAGTGGACAGAATATTTTTGCTACGATGTTTTTGATTTACCAAATGCATTATGATGTTGGAAGGAAATGAAATATGTCTAATGTATTTTCTATTGAATATTATATATAGGATCGATACTCAACATCCGATATCGAAATGATATCGATATTTTCAGAGGCCGATATCTTTTTTTTTTTCTTTCCTTTTTTAACGTCGGTCTCTGTTCCGCAATCTAGTGCCAATCACCGACGGACATCGATTGCCATCCATTGACGACAATCGAATGTGCAGGAAGGCAGCTTCCACACCTGCATAGGATATCGCAACCATTCACAACACACATGGGCCGGGACCAACGGCTTTACCTCCCTTCCGAAGGAAGACGTGACCAGAGATTTTTATGCCTCAGAAAAATCCCACCAACCTCGGCTGGGATTGAACCCAGACCCATTGGGGTGTTAGAAAGCAGTCACGCTTACCACTACACCACCGGCGCCGGCTAGAGGCCGATATCGATATTATCGAAAAATACGACCTCGCCACAACAGAGCTTGTGAGCGTATGCAAAAAGTTTACAAAGTTACGTTCGTACGATAGGTTTCTGAATTCCAATCTTATCATTAGAGTGAACTTATGTTTTGTGCTTTAGTTATAGACTGTCACTGACGGTACACTGTCCATAATCGCAAATCAGTCCCATATGGAAAAAGAAACAAAAATCCATTGGCAAAAATACTATGTTGATGGTTTAAATTAAAAACTCCCACCAATAATTTTTGCAGAAACGAAATTCATTTAATTTTATTATTTTTTTTCTATCAAAACTACTATGCCGTTTGAGTAAGCATAGTAGTTTTGACAGAATGGTAGTAAATTTGAATATTTATAGTCAACTATACTGAAATCATGGTTAACTGTATTAAGCGTAGTTATACTGAAAATAAGTGTTTTCTGCAAAATAGTATTCCGAACTATGGTATTTGTTTCAGTGAAGCGTTGAACAAAATTAAGTTGAAGCTACAAAGTGCAATTGCATGCAAATATTTTAATAATCAGAGTGAATTTATTGGTAATTTTTTCAAGTTAAAATCAGCTGAAATGAATGTTTTGTTATATTAGCAAACATATGGTAATTCAAAAAGCAGCACTGTAACCTTATCCTCTGGACGATTGCATTTCAAGATGGGGCTGATATGCGATAATTTTTTTATGGGGCAAACTGGCATGATGTTGTTTTCACATTTTTCATGATCAAAGTCCGTAGTTTTATCACATAATATGAAAGTAGATGCCAATTGATAGTCGATACCGTTGTTATCTCAGCATTAACGAGAATCCATATGGGACTGATATGCGTTTATAGGCAGTATATACTTACATTTTATTACGTTAATTTTCCTTTCAATTCTACTATTATTGTATCACTATCATTATCCACTTTCACAATTAATTTTTTTCATTTTAACTATCACCATTTACTACTTGCAAACTTTTTCAGTGTCTAGTCATAGAGTTCAGTAACTATGACTACACACTAGAGTGTTTCAAAATAGGTCAAATCTGGGATTTCAAACGCTACCCTCTGGAATGGTAGTTTTGGGGGTCAGAAACATCCTGCCAAAATTTGAAGTGATTTGGTTCACGGGAACCCCTCGCTCAAACGGCTTGAAGTTTGTATGGGGAAAATTGACAAAATGTATGGGGGAGCGAGCCACTTTCACATTCGCGGCTCTAGGTGGCGCTGTAGTGAGTAGATTTTCTTCGTGAACAAAATGTAGCACCTTTGGAGTATTGGGAACATCTTGGCTGAAGACCGGATGTGAATCCGAGTTACCCCCGAAAAGTTATTAGCGTTTCAAACGAACACCACCTGCTTTACTTCTGGGGAGGGCCTAACGCGCTTGTGCAGTTTTTTATTTTTACGAACAGGTATACGAATAGCAATGTTTGCATAGGTATAACTTTTTTGTTTAACCATGAAGTTGGTTGAAATTTTCACAGTGAGTAGAAAAATGTTCGAAATTATGGTCTACTAAAAATTGGAACAGATTGGCCAAGTGGTTCCGGTTTTATTCCGGGTTTCCGAGAGGCCATCGGGGGGAGAAAAGGTACCAGTCGTCTAGAACAAGGTGGTGCTGAAAATCCACAGCAACAGGCATCTATGGGTAGTGCTGATTAATATTTTAACAAAATCAACCCATAACCTGGTTCTATATACTGAGCGTCCACCGGAAGGCCTTCCGATGACCCGGATCAACCTTAATCTGGATTATTATGTATTTTTTTTATCAAAGTAGGCCTTGATTATTCTCTGCAACTATATGAAATGTAGTAAATTAATGATTTTAGATATATAAGCGTTTCAATGGCTCCAAGTGGTCACCAGATGATCCGCCGGAAGATCCGAAACATCCTTAAAATTTAGTGCTACATAAATTCGATCAAAGTAGGCCTTGATTTTTCCCTGCAACAATGAGAAATGTTGTAAAATGGTGATTTTTGATATGTTAGCTGTTCAATGGCTCCGAGTTATCACCAGATGGTCCGCTAGTAGATACGGAACATCCCTAAAATTGATTGCTGTGTAAATTTGATCAAAGTAGACCTTGATTTTCCTCCGCAATTATATGGAGTATAGTAAAATGGTGCTGGTCGTTCGATCCAAGTGGTCACCAGATGACCCACCGGAAGATCCGAAAGATCCGTAAAATTTATTGCTGCGCAAATTTGATCAAAGTAGGCCGTGATTTTGCTCTGCAACAATGTGAAATGTAGTAGAATGCTGATTTTTGATATGTTAGCTGTTCAATGGCTAAGCAGCAATAAATTTTACGGATGTTCCGTATTTTCTGGACCAGCTGGTGATAACTCGAAGCCAATGATCAGCGAATATATAAAAAAATCACCATTTTACTACATTCCATTTAGTTGTAGGGAACAAGCAAGGCCCGCTTTGATAAAATTTACACATAAATCAATTTTACGGATGTTCCGGATCTTCTCACGGACCATCTGGTGAATACTCAGAGCCATTGAACGGCTAATGTATCTAAAATCACAATTTTACTACACTCCACATAGTTGCAGAGTAACATCAAGGCCTACTTTGATCAAATTTACACAGCAATAAATTTATCAGATTTTCCGGATCTTCCAGCGGTTATGTCGTGACCACTCGGAACAATTGAACAGCTAATATAACAAAAATCACCATTTTACTACATTTCACGTAGTTGCAGAGCAAAATCAAGGCCTACATTAATCAAATTTACGCAGCAATACATTTTACGGATGTTCCGGATCTTGCGGCGAGCCACTTGCCAAGTGAACAGCTAATATATAAAAAAATCATAATTTTACTACATTATATACAGTTGCAATGAAAAATCAAGACCTACTTTGATGAAATTTACTTAGCAACCAATTTTACGGATGTTCCAGATCTTTCGGTGGGTCATCTGGTGACCATTTGGAGCCAATGACCAGCTAATATTTCAGAAATCACCATTTTACTGTATTCCTTATAATTGCGGAGGAAAATCAAGGCCTACTTTGATCAAATTTACACAGCAATCAATTTTACGGATGTTCCGTATCTACCAGCGGACCATCTGGTGATAACTCGGAGCCATTGAACAGCTAACATATCAAAAATCAGCATTCTACTACATTTCACATTGTTGCAGAGCAAAATCAAGGCCTACTTTGATCAAATTTGCGCAGCAATAAATTTTACGGATGTTTCGGATCTTCCGGTGGGTCATCTGGAGACCCCTTGGATCCAACGACCAGCACCATTTTACTATACTCCATATAATTGCGGAGGAAAATCAAGGCCTACTTTGATCAAATTAACACAGCAATCAATTTTACTGATGTTCCGTATCTACCAGCGGACCATCTGGTGATAACTCGGAGCCATTGAACAGATAACATATCAAAAATCACCATTTTACAACATTTCTCATTGTTGCATGGAAAAATCAAGGCCTACTTTGATCGAATTTATGTAGCACTAAATTTTAAGGATGTTTCGGATCTTCCGGCGGATCATCTGGTGACCACTTGGAGCCATTGAAACGCTTATATATCTAAAATCATTAATTTACTACATTTCATATAGTTGCAGAGAATAATCAAGGCCTACTTTGATAAAAAAAATACATAATAATCCAGATTAACGTTGATCCGGGTCATCGGAAGGCCTTCCGGTGGACGCTCAGTATTTAGAACCAGGTTATGGGTTGATTTTGTTAAAATATTAATCAGCACTACCCATAGATGCCTGTTGCTGTGGATTTTCAGCACCACCTTGTTCTAGACGACTGGTACCTTTTCTCCCCCCGATGGCCTCTCGGAAACCCGGAATAAACCCGGAACCACTTGGCCAATCTGTTCCAATTTTTAGTAGACCATAATTTCGAACAATTTTCTACTCACTGTGAAAATTTCAACCAATTTCATGGTTAAACAAAAAAGTTATACCTATGCAAACATTGCTATTCGTATACCTGTTCGTAAAAATAAAAACTGCACAAGCGCGTTAGGCCCTCCCCAGAAGTAAAGCAGGTGGTGTTCGTTTGAAACGCTAATAACTTTTCGGGGGTAACTCGGATTCACATCCGGTCTTGAGCCAAGATGTTCCCAATACTCCAAAGCTGTACACGAAGAAAATCTACTCACTACAGCGCCACCTAGAGCCGCGAATGTGAAAGTGGCTCGCTCCCCCATACATTTTGTCGATTTTCCCCATACAAACTTCAAGCCGTTTGAGCGAGGGGTTCCCGTGAATCAAATGACTTCAAATTTTGGCAGGGTGATTCTGACCCCCAAAACTACCATTCCAGAGGGTAGCGTTTGAAATTCCAGACTTTGACTTTTTTCCATATAACGCTGAAACACTCTACTACACACTGAAGAAGATTGCAAGTAGTAAACGAAATACGTATCTGTGACAGGTGTTTAATAGCGATAGTGAAAGTGAATAGTGAAAGTTATACAATAGTAGTAGAATTCAAAGGAAAAACAACGTAATAAGATATACAATCATTCTACTAAAACGCTAATCAATCAATTAAGAGTACATACCTTTTGTTTGCCTATTGCATCTAATATCATGTCACTGTCCGCAACAACAACACAATGTTTTTTCAACATCTCGCGTTCCATTTCCAGCCAGTCCACTATTTGTGCAACAGATTTATCAAAATTATTTGTTAAAGCAGCAGCCACCGCTTTTGCTCGCGTTTTCGCATAAAATAAACCTGGTACGTAGCTTTCGGCATCTAAAATTTACAATCAGAACAAAATTAATCAAATCACGTCTCGCAAAATGATTATTAATAATTACCATGACAGTTGCTCTTACCTGCAGTGCTATCCACATTTTGGAAACAAATGTTCTTTTCTAAATTATACGTGCGGGTACGATTCAAAGCCGCTAGAGCAGTAACGACCTCATCACAATGTACGGACAATTCCTTAGTTACCTGAAAAAAATCAAGCATAATAATTCCCTAATGATGAGCATCTGAACCAGTTACTTACCTTCTCCAGTATATCCATGCTATCAGCCGCTTTCTCTTCGGGACTAAATTGCGACACCAACTCGGTTACTAATTTGATTTCCTCTTGTTTTCGCTATTTAAAAAAATATAAAAATACAATACAAACATATATTTTTTTAAATGCTTGAAGTGATCACTGCTTGCTAACTAGCTTTGCTTGCAATCTATATAATTAGGCTCTCTCCAAAATACAAGCAATGATATTTTTAGCATATTACGTTTACAAACAGTCCAGTCTAATGGTTTTACCATATCAATAATAAAACAAGGACTACCTAAGGGAAATTACGCCTTTTACAACATTGCTTTGCATTGCAACTCTTTTCAAAACATCTTTAAGCGATTTGTGATTTGTTTAAAAAAACTTATGTACAGGGAAAAGGCATACGAATTGATGGTACGATGAAGCAGTATGCTACCCTACCTTTTGTCTAAATAAATCTTAAAATGTGTTATGTATTAAGTGATTGTAAACTGAACTCAAATTGACATTTCTACCCTTGCTACGTATTCTTTATTATATTAGCACAAACATAAATACTACGCATGCGTATCTAGGTGTTTGGAAATAATCATAATCGTCTGTGAACATACTTTCCTCTTGTTTGTCACTTACAAAAATCCCAATGATCTGACTTTGAACTGAGGCATGTGCATGAGATATGGGAATGAATCGAGGCATGCGCGCGACTATTTTCAATATGGTTCACTTTAACATCGCCAATTGTGGGAAATTTAAAAAAGAAATGCGTAAAAAATAACCCAGCAGATTTGTTTACGTGAGCCTTAGAAACTATACAACCTTTCCTCGATACCTATACTCGATGTGTTTTGATTAATTTTTTTTTCCATATAGGGAAAAATGGCTCTAATGATCTGCTATTTATCAATTTTATCTAGATAAACGCGTCATTGGGACGGTACTAATGGATATTTTTGGTCGCTATTGAAAATTTAGTCGATTACTGTATTTATGTATTAGGGGCATTTAGCCCGACATTACTTCCATTTTCCCTATATTCACTTCCTTACGTTGATTCTATATTTTTTTTCGATATTTTTAGCTAAAGCCGTTGCACAGTGGGACCATTCTGAACAAATGCAAAAAAAAGAAAGAAAAAAAATCTCACATTTCCCGATGTTTTAGCGTTTAGATGTCTTTGAAGAAGTTTCTTGAAATGTCATTCAGCATCTTTCGAAATATGCATATACATTTTTATTAAGGCAGTATTACACTTAGAAAAACTTACTTTTTGTAATCACATAATATTACGTTGCTGTCTTCGGCAAAGTTGAAGAACTATGAATTGTATGGAGCTTTGCTAAGTATCTACATCATAAGTCTAGCGAGATATAAATGAATTTTTGTCAGAAGTAAAATCAGTTTTTTTTTTAACTTTTTTACTTCATAGTAATCGATTCGACGTGTGCTATAAAGTTTTCATTATTATCAAAATACACAACTTTTCTCAAGACAGTAATATTGTAAATCGCACAATTTGCTTTGTAAAGTGATTTTGAAGCAAAATTTCACAAATTTTGCAATTAACGTTTATTTGAAAATGGTAGTTTCTGGCAGCTAAAATTAACTTTATTTGACCAATCATGATGTGAAGTACTAATGTCACTGTCGGTTCTGATCAGGTTTTTTCCAATTGTCTTTTCGGTCGTTTTGGTTATATTGTCATTTAGTTTTTCAATTTTTATTAGTTTTTTTTCAGGTAAAGTCTGAATTTTTTCATCTATGTGATGCATAATCTTCTATTCGTTGTTCCTTAGTTTGAAGTGGTTAAGACTAGGGTTCTGATGCATGGTCATTATCGGTGTCTTTGCTTATTTTTGTTGCTAAGGAACCCGGTTTGACTGACTGGAGGGTGTTTCAATACTCCGAAGGGTATAGATAGCGGGACCTTTCAGTTAGAATCGGTTCCTTGCAATGAAGGCAAGAGTGACAACTATATCAAAACCGAATACTTCATCATTTCTCAATAGTTATGGAGTAATACGACATGCATTAAACTAAGGACACGAGATATGCTACAATAGATCAAATTACTGGTTGCAGTGGTTTTATTTCCCGAACAGAGGAAAAAAAAGTCTGTCAACACTCCACAACTCGATGTCCACTAACTCGATATCGAGTTATAGAACAATAGTAAAAATTGATTTCATGGCTACTGTTATAGCGATTTTGTATGGATTGTTATTCTACAACTCGATAATTTTATAACTCGATGGGCCCTTGAATGTCGAGTTGTAGAGAGTTCATAACATATTTGTTACATTTGGCTTGAATGCCCTCAATACTACTAGGTTTCAAAAAGGAAGCTCTACACGCAGAAAAATTGATTTTTGTTTCAGGACCTAATATATTTTGTTATTGATTCAAACATATTGTATCACTATTTCAACAAAACATATTTTTTAATCAACTAAATTGTTTTTTAGAATCAACACACATATTATTAACTCTACAACCGGCTTGTTGATTAAAAAAAGGTTTTCTTTGAATTAACCGAATAATATATTTGAATCAATACCAAAAATATATTAGGCCCTCACTTGACAGCTCGGATTCGTCACATCCAGACGCTGTTTCTTACGTATTCTATTTATCGCGCCGTCGCGAGTGTTTTTCGTAGTGATTAGCTGTAAGACACATCGGGTCCACTTCTCGATCAACCTGGGAAGCGTTCTACAGTGGATTTTGGCCTTAGGGCAACGCGTTCAGTGGAAAAACTATAGTTTAATTAGTGCCATCAACAGCACAGAGACGCTATCTTCGTGTCAGCCATCGCTGCTGACGATCATAAGATCGTGAAGAAAAAGCTTTCAAGTCTGCGATCGATAAAAGTGAATTACGGACTGCCTATCGAAAGGCGAAGATATTTGAGGTGGTGATTCGATAACCATCGTCGTGCGTAGTGTCGCACTGCGTGCTTTTTTTTTCCTGTGTGGTGCGGTGCTAATCAACCGAAGAGTGATCATCACAGGGATAGTTTTTTCTCTCCCCTCCAGCCATGGAGCTGAATAGGGATTTTACTCACCTCCCTGGAGACACCGGGGGAGGATCAACAAGCTACATAGATGGATCTCACGTCGGAGCAACGTTATCCAATTGTATGGACCCCCATGGTGAACACGGTGAGATTGTCGTTTTGAAGCTGCAACCTGTTACCGGTAAATTACCGGAACATCCTTTCATGCTGCATTCACCGGTAGAGAAATGGATAAACGGAAAAATTGAAGTTGCGTTTCCGGAAGCTCAAGGGCAAGCCTATGCCCTGAAAGTTAGAAGTAAATGGCAACTCAATCGACTTCTAAACATGACCCAACTAAACGACGGTACCGTAGTAAAGTTTACAAAGCACACGGGCCTATACAGCGTCCGTTGCGTAATTAACTGCAGGGAGATGATGAAGGTCGATGATGAAGGTCGATGATGAAGGTCGATGATGAAGAAGTACTGGACTACATGAAGGATCAGAAGGTGACGAGTTTACGGCGGATTACTCGCCGGAACGGTACTGAACGGGTAAACACGGCGACCATCGAAGATACCAGGATGTCGGAGCATAGGGTATCTACGGGTCAAGACGCGGCCATATTATCCGGCCCCGATGCTATGCTACAATTGTTTTGTTTTAGGACAACAGGTTCCAACAACTGCTCTAAGCAGCATTCGATCGTTGAGGGTGTTAGGTGCACAAATAACCCGTTCTGTCCCCGCTGCAAAACCATTGAACAATCCTTGTCGAGTAGAATCTGCCAAGTAGAATCTACCGAGATTCAAGAACTGACGACTCTACCACTGGTGGGTCCCTCAGTGAAACCTCACTTCAGCAGAATATCACCGCTTATGAGAGCAAGAGCCCATCCCCTCTGGACTACGTGGGAGTCAAGGGGGACGAATCTGTGAAAAACTATCACCGAAGGATGAAGTGAGAGGAAAGAAGTCTCTAGCTAACAAAATTACCGGGAAAGCCGGGAAATCCGTGCCGGCGTTCAACCCCTCCTCAATGCCTCCTTCCGGTGTAACCCTACCGGGTTCCAGAGATTAGCCAGAATCAGATCAGGAAAGGCACTTCCCATTGATGTTCTAGTCTGTGCGGATGCTTACGACAAAATGCAGCACCAACGGCTCGGAATTCCTTCTCCGGAAGCGGGCCCCTCGACTACGCCTTCGTCAAATGAGCGAGCAAGCCACGATCGCCACAAGCACCCAGCTTCACACCTACTAACAGGAACCCTCACAATGGGGAACCGTTATAGAATGCAACCAGGTCAGTCCGACGCAAGCCTACTCGAGGCTCATTCCCTCACGAAACCTTCCCTCGGTAAGAGGACACCTAATGGGAGCCCTAAGGATCCAGTCCATTATCCTACCTCTGCAACACGGATCCCTAGAAACCCAGCGAACAAACTATCCAAAAAAACAACCGCTTGCTAGACAGTGGAATATGAACGACTTTTATAACAACCTTCCAGACTTAGAAATCCTAGTTCTTGATCAGATGCCCTCCATCCTGACCATCCAAAAGGTCCACCGGGCCACCGGCAGCGGCATGAATCATACGCTGGGCGGTCAATACCAGTGGACCTTAAAGAGAAACGAAAACATATTCCTTCCACTCAGCGGCAATCGGGGTCCTGGCACCAACACCGTTTTCGACCATACATCTAGACACAGACCTTCCAATCGTGGCGGTCAGACTCGAATACCCATTCCCGATTTCAGTTGTTTCCGCTTACCTTCCATGCAGGAAGATACACAACCTTACCCGGAAAAAAAAATTACAGTGAAATTTTCAGTGGAAACAATGCTCTAACATGAATATTTATTGTCGACAATAAAAATGATTGTTATAATGTTGTACTCTTCCGAAAACGGCAAAACTGCTACCTAGCTGTACAATGAATGTACATAATAAAATGTTGTTACAATGATTTTTATCGTATTTTTCATTTATTTTATTGTTAACATGATTCGATCATGAACAATAATGAACAACTCTATTACATTAAAAATGTTGTTACATTAAATATTGGTGTGTTTTCATTGTGGGTTACTTCACGAACAATGAAAATAAATCTGATTGAAGCATGCAGACTATGAGAGGGTCAGCAACACGCCAATGTAATCAAGATAGGCGCTGCTCATATGGCTCTGGCTTTGACAGTTCGTTTGGCTCAAAACCAGCCAGTTCGCGTCCGCTCATCTCTTATCCTAGACCCTTTCTAAAACTGGCTTAAGATGGTTCAATTCAGCGTTCAACTCACTTGAACTGCGAAATGAACGTCCAGAAATCTGACCGATATCGGACTTGCTCTATTCGTTGCCAAGTCAATTGAACGCCTACGACCAGATCGGTTTGAGTTGAATTCAACTCACCTGCCTCATCTTAATCCCGCTTAATGCAGACCTTTTCCGTGCAGGCAATAATCATACAATATAATAATAAAAAATTCCACCACTTGAAGATGTCAGGAAGGAACTCTCAGGTGGAAGCATATTTCATGGGCGATTCTCTCCAGTAGAATGCATTAACTTATCAACGACGCTCAACCACCAAGGAGACGTGACCTAGAGAGATCGAGTGCAGGGGAATTGGCCTCCATTTATCACAAGTTCCGGATCGAATCTCAATCCATAACCAGTAAAAAAAAAGACTCACCCGTAACAGACATACCACCCCCTTCCCTTCCCGGGACCATGTTCTATTTTTTCGATTTATTTTTAAAGTCGATAAAGTAGATCTGTCAAGCCAACACATACACTCTAAAGTACACTGTTATTTTTTTTAATCAATAAATTCGCCAACCAACAGTAAAATAACAATAATATATAATGTTATTGAAAAAAATATATATGGGGAAATCACGAAAATTTCATTGTTAAGATGCTTAACAACCCCCCTTTTTTATTGTAAATTTTCCATTTACCATGAAATTTATTGTTTTGTACAACATAAATCAAGGCAAATTTATTGTAGACGTAACAATATAAATCATTGTTAATACAATAATTTTCGTCTTATTGTTACATTGTTTTTTAATGTATTTTTGTTGTTATTTTTTTTTTCGGTAAACAACACCTCAGCGATCTGCTTCAAGACCTCGAACGACCCATTCTGGTACTTGGGAATATGAGCGGCCATCATCCAGCATGGGAAGCCCGAAAACCAACTCCAAAGGCACTACACTTATGGAAGTTGCAGAAGCCTCGGATCTCGTCGTTATTAACGACGGGTCTATCACTTTCATCAGCGGACAGAGGGAATTCTCTGTAGACGTATCTCTTGCAAGCGTCAGCGTTGTCAGCGTTGCAGAAGTCCGTTGACGCCACATGGTCCAATTCAACACCGGGCACTATCCAAGACTTCATTAGCTCCATCCATCAAGCGGCACTTTCATCAATTCCACGAACCAGTCCCAACCCAGGCTCTAAGTCTCTACCATGGTGGCCCCCAGATACCAAAGCAGCAGTTAAAGCCAGAAAGAAGACTCTTCGGGCTGCTAAGCGGCTACCTTCGGACCATCCATCGATAGAAGCGGCCATGGCCACCTACAGAGCAAAACGCAACGAGTGCCGACAAACTATCCGGTCTGCCAAGAGTTCAAGCTGGGAGCAATTTCTGGACAGCATTAATGCTGGCCAGACAGCCACTGACCTGTGGGGTAAGGTCAACGCATTAGGTGGAAAACGGAAAAGCCGCGACAAGATCGGCCACGCCATGGGGGAATATTTTGCCTCTCTCTCGGCCATTGACAGGTACGATGATCGTTTTCGTCGTGTAAAAAACCTTTCGATGCACTCTTTGGACAGTATTTACATCCCAGAGGATGAACTACCACTGGAGATTAATCGGCCTTTCATGCCACGGGAACTCGACCTAGCTCTATCCAAGGTTACCGGGAAATCGACTGACCCAGATGACGTTGGGTACTAAACATACCTAAAATACCTATCACCGGAATGCAAGACCACACTCCTCAGACTTCTAAATAGAGAATGGCTGGATAATTCCATTCCAGAAGACTGGAGACACAGCCTTGTCGTCCCGATCCCGAAGCAGAGCACCTCGGGTCGCGAGGAAAGACTTCCGACCGATATCTTTGACATGTTGTGTCAGTAAGGTGCTGAAGAGAATGGTCAACCGTAGGCTCGTGCTCTACTTGGAGAGTAACGGCTACATTGACCACCGCCAGCAACCTTTCCATCCTGAACACGGTACCGGGACCTACTTCGCCACTTTGAACCAGGTACTTCGAGACGCGAGAGATTCTGACCAGCATGCTGAACTCGCTACGCTAGACATCTCTAAGGCTTATAACAGTACATGGACACCCGACATTCTTGCTCAACTCACGGACTGGGGTCTGTCGGGCCACGTTTTTCATTTTTTGAAGAACTTCCTCCGACATCGTACTTTCCAAGTATGCATCGGAAACCATAGATCAAGAGAATTCCCAGAGGAGACTGGCATCCCGCAAGGTTCGGTGATCGCAGTCACGTTGTTTCTAATACGGGTGAACGGAGTGTTCCACAGCTTACCCAAAGAAATATACATCTTCGTGTATGCAGACGATATCGTCTTGGTGGCGGTAGGCTCCACAATGAAGGCCCTTCGCAGAAAACTAAACGCGGCCACGAATGCAGTTCTACGCTGGACCAAATCCGTCGGATTCCACCTCTCGGTGGAGAAATGCGCGTATACCCACATTTGTCCGTTCAATCACCAGGTGCTCCGCTCTCCTATCAGCGTCGAAGGAAGCATCATGCCGTTTAAGAAGCCTATCCGCGTCCTCAGCATTCGCCTGCGATCGAGTGCGGTAAAAATCGGTAGAACTGTTTCAAACACATCGTAGGTATTTGAGCGCGTCGGTGATCATCTCTTTTTGCCAGTGGTGGCGGGGGGAATACCCCTCACCATCCCTCTCCAACGGGGGAGTTTGGTAAAGAGAGACGATCAAACCGATTTGTACCTTCCTAAAGTTGTCCTTGCTCGCTTTCTACTCTCTATATGCAATTTTCATACTGCTGTACTCTGACGGAACTATCAATTCTATACTTTCATCTCCAATCTATCGTATAAAAATTACCACTTTAGTCTGTTATTTGAAATTAGCATCTTCAATTATTTAAATCGTTGACTTGAGGCAGAAGTAATACTAAACATATAGTCAAAGTCTTATTTGTTATTTCTCAGACGTCAGTAACGGAACGAGTGCACTTGGCTCCAGAATTGGCCTTGAAAGAATTCCAGCTGACATTGGGACTGGCTTGAACATCGGACAGTTTTCGGTTGACATCGGATACCGCTTGAACACCAGATAGTATTCGGTTGGCTTCGGGGATCGAATGAATACTGGACGGGTTCCGGTAGACATCGGAAACATCTTGAACACGGGCCGGGTTTCGACAGACATCGGGAATAACTTTAACACCTGATGATTTCGACCTGGCATCGGGAATTGCTTCAACACCGGATGATTTCGAGCTGAAATCGGGAAATGCTTCAACACCGGATGGTCTCCTGCTGACATCGGCAACGGCTTGTTCACCGGATGGTTTCCCGGGGACGTCAGAAATGGCTTGTTCACCGAATGAATTCAAGCAGTCATTGGGAACTGCTTGCACACCGGACGAGTTCCAGTGGATATCATGAAGTTCGTGACCACCAGACGGGTTAAGGGGACACCTCGAACGGCTTGACCACCGAACGGGTTCCGGTGGACATCAGGAAGGGCTTGATCACCGCTTTGGTTCCGGCGGTCATCAGGATTGGCTTGATCACAGCCTGGATTTCGTCGAACATCAGGCAGGTTTTGACCACCGGACGCATTCCAGCGTATATCAAGAAGGGCTTGACGACCGGATGGTTTCCCGTTGACATCAGGAATGGCTTGGCCACCGGATGGATTCCAGTGGACATCAGAAACGATTTGACTGCCGGATTGGTTTCGGCGGACATCAGGAAGGGCTTGACCGCAGGCTGGATTCCGGCGGACATAAGGAACGGCTTGATCATCGGCTGGATTGCGGCAGACATCAGGAAGGGTTTGACCACCGGACGGATTCCGGTGTATATGAGGAATGGCTTGACCACCGAAAGGGTTTCGGCGGAAATCAGGAAGGGTTTGACCACCGGACGGATTCCAGCGGACATCAAGAATGGCTTGAATACCGGAACGATTCCAGCAGACATCGGATAAGGCATCAACATCAGATGGTTTCCGCTCTGGTTCCAGTCGAGGTTAGGATTGTTTGCGGCATTTCACCAGCTGGGACGGACTTCTGGCTTGAAAGTCGTCTTGGAATAGCTTCGGATTGACTTCGGTTGTCGGAAGGTTTTAAATTCATGACTTGAGGTGAGTCCTCATTGCCACGGCACTCGGTTGGTTCACTTGCCATGTTATTAGGCTTGACTTCTACGGAGTCGGCTGAATCCTCGACGTAATGGTCCTCTGTCAATCCACGAGGAAGATAACTTGGCTTGGACGCAGAGTTAGGTTTAATATCGTCAGCTTCGGTTAGCACTTCATATTAAATCGAACACGGTGGGGCACGAGGTGTGCTTGTCAGCTTGGTTTCAGTATCGGATGCATTACTGTACTCGGCCGCACTGGTAGGTGGAGGTTGTGTGCTGATCGGTAATCTTTCGGTGAATTGGGTTCAATCATAGATTAGCTGGACTCCGGTCGGTCCACAATGGGAGTTCAACGGCATAATAATAGATTTTGCCTTTAAGACCCCCGATTTTTAGTACATCTGGGAAAACCCGCAAAAATGTGCTGGAAAAATAGCTAATCGAAAAATCGAAGCACATTTAGTTTTAGCATAGCTTTCTGGCAACGTGATAGTTGGAATTTTTTTTGGGAAAATCCAGCCCACAAAAAAACTGGATAGTTTTTCCAACATGAGGACCACCCAATTCCGGCCACGTGATTGCATAGGTGTAGACACCATGTGCTATCGTTCCCCTCTGATAGCTCGTGATTTTTATTCTAAAGTACCAGATAATTATATACTATAAGATTCGTGAGAATACCGATGTCATGCATACCATTTACCCGTTGTACCGGTACATGGCGAACAAGGTAAGGGAAAGAAAAAAACACTGTACTAAACACGAATGCGCGCGAGGGACTTTCGGCTCACATGATTTCTGCCGACGGCTGAATAGTGGTTTCGCATTTTTTGGAAAAAATAATTCAAGTTGTTGATAATGAAAAAGGCCAGCAAGAAGTAAAATGCCTTTCCCTACATCCTCCATTTCGCCCTGAATGACAATGGTTCCAAATATGTACTGGGAAACAAATTATATGCACAGGGAAAGTCGATGAAACTAGCTAGGTTACTTCTGTTTTCTTTGTGTGGAGTAAACATATAAATAATGTTTGGAAAGCAATATAAGCAATAAAAAAAATATCCCATATAATCTTCACAGCAGGTATTATCGATTTCCATTTCTAAGAATCACATTCAAAACTTCATATGGATATTACAGCCGATAATGACAAGACTTTGCTATGATGTATTCAGAAACTTTGCATAACTAATATCAACAGAAAAAATGCATCAGTTAGTTGCAACATGGGTAATTGTTTTCTTCCAAATGACAGTAACATTTATTGATAAATTGAAAACGTTTGTCAACTGTTGTAAAAAGTTAATGCTTCGTACAGAGTTGGGCACATTTTAGATAATCCACTTGGAACATTTTCGAGAGCAACCTGTATTAATCATGAATGATTATAATTTATAAATTTTACACTAAAATACTCCTGAAATAAGGTTGGAATGAAACTGGATAGCAGCTATCGGTTATCGTTAACTCCCGATAATCACATTATCATTTTATTGTTTAGCGATTATCGAATTATACTGACGTATTATCTGTAATATAAGTAATAGTAATAGTAATAGTAATAGATTTTGGTTAGTTTGACAAACCTCGGCAAATTTATATAGATAGTGTAACCATCAATTTCCGGCAGTATGAAAAGTCATTCCGTATCGAGCGCTGAGCCAGTTAACAGCGTTAACACTCGTTTTTTTTACCGCGTTTCCATCGCTCTCGTGTTAAAAAAAAAGTGTTCAAATGAATCGCGCACGGTTTTCGGAAGCAGCTATCGTAAGCTGAGTCTTACGTATAGACTGTTCACCTTTACCCCAGTGATCGATCGTCATCAAATCATCACCATCATCATCGTATCATCTCCGTCAATAGCCGCATCGTAGCAGCAGCAAACGGAATACCTAGCTGCACCGGCTGATAGGTTTTTACACAACCGGTATAAGTATTAGACAATACATTTTGCAAATCCATTGCCTTCCTATTGTAGTTTTGTTTTGCCTCGTGGTGCGTGGCTCTGTCTCTCCCCTAGTAAGGGAGTATGGCTCATAGTGAGACAACTTGTTGCAACTAGATATAAGTTTTTTTTCGATTTTTTTTCTCTTTAATTTGCTCGTACGCCGTGCAAAAAAATCTATTACTTGTAATTAAATTTAATAAATTGGAGAAGGGCACTTTTGCGCAACACTTATGGCATCTTCCGATGCCAACGTTGCGCGAACCAGGTATTACCAACCACTTTCGAAAGGACCATGGGTTGTCTTTTTCGGCCTTAAAATAAACCCTTGAAAACTCTCGATATTTCGAGAGACTTGCTGCGTAAGTATCCGGGAATCTTTGTACATAAGGAGAAATTCAACAAACTGTGTGTAGAAGCAACGAATTATGATGTGCAAATAAAATTGCTGATCACGAGCTGTTTAGTGTTGAGTACAACATCTACATCCTTTCTCGATATGTGGAGATAGAAGGCGTGGTCTCCGACGCGAGTCTGTCTGTCGAGGACTTGAAACGTGCCTCGGGTTGTTCTAAAAACAGAAAAGTTACAAGCGAGCTTGTAAAGATACTGGATGTTAGGGAACTGCATTCAGTATCTTTACAAGATGGCAAGAAAGTTTATCAGCATTCAGACTTGTTTCGCGTGACTTTCGCTGGTTCAGTTCTCCCAAACTTTGTCAAAGTTGATGGTGCTTTTTTCCGGTGCGGTTGTTTGTACAGAGGGTTTATAATTGTACCAACTGCAAAAAGCTGGGACACTCGGCCAGCCATTCCAGCAACAAAACTCGTTGTGGTAAATGTGGTGAAAACCACAAAGAGGATTCTTGCCACAAAGAATCAGTAAAATGCGCGTACTGTGGCGAGAATCCTCACCCCTTGCAGGAGTGCCCGATGTACAAGCAGTGCAGCGTTCAATCTCAGGACGCTTCAAGCAGACATATGCTCAAATGGTGAAGGCTGCATCAGCCGTCCAAGATGCAAACCAATTTTCGATTTTGTCAGCTGAAGAATCGGACTCTGACTCATCCCATGAAGGTGATTCTACGGTGGTACACGCACCTTCAAAAATGGACGGATCCTCAAAACGAAAGTGCGCCGTAAGAAAACTAAAGTCACCTCCAGAAGATTGATAATGGCCCATGCATCATTACTAATGGGGATGAAAAAATGAAACCGAAGGCTCCTGCTGAACCAATCCCTGGATGCAGCAGGAATTTTCCACCATTGCCCAAAAAAGATAAGAAAAATAATCAAACTGCTCCTCAAAACTTCTCAAAAGAAATCCAAGTACGAACAAGGTTTGCTAGCTTTTTCGGACATTGTGGAATTCATATTAAATATGTTCAACATACAAGACCCTCTTAGAAGCTTAGTTTCTGTCTTGCTTCCAACATTTGAATCATATCTTAAGCAATTGACTGTTTCATGGCCCCTCCTTGCATCATCATATCTTTCGATGGATAATTCGTCGAACGAGGTTGAAGATATGATCACTGTGCTACAGTGGATCTGCCGTAGTCTAGTGTCGAAACTAGACTCGTTCAAATTTTTACTTCACAATTCTGATTGTGATATATTTGCGCTATGTGAAACATGGCTTTCTTCCGATAAAGAGCTCAACTTCCACGATTTTAACATTATTCGCCTGGATAGAGACGATTCTTATGGAGGAGTACTTTTAGGGATCGAAAAGTGCTACCCTTTCTACAAAATTTCCCTTCCTGCTCTATCAGGCGTCGAAATCGTCGCTTGCCAAATAAATGTGAAGAACAAAGACCTTTGCATAACTACAGTTTCAAGAACCTCCATTAGCCGTAGTCAACTCTGGGATCTAGTTTCGATTCTTCCATCCCCAGTATTAATTCTGGGTGATACGAACTCCCATGGTACTGGGTGGGGCGATCTATATGATGACAATAGAGCGGCTATTTTTTACGATTTATGCGACGATTTCAACTTGACTATTTTGAACACTGGTGAAGCGACACGTATAGCAAAACCTCCGGCTCAAGAAAGTCGACTCGACCTATCTTTGTGTTCAAGATCGCTATCATTGGATTTTCTGTGGAAGGTTATCAATGATCCCCATGGTAGCTATTATTTGTCAATCATCATTTCAATAAAGTGTGCCCCTCACTCTGCAGAACTATCTCGAGTTCCATTTGATCTTACAAGGAACATAGATTGGCAGAAATATGCAACGGCGGTGACAATCGGTGCCGAATCAATAGATACGCTTCCACTATTGGAAGAATATCGATTCCTCGCCGATTTGATTAAGAAAAGTTCACTGGACGCATAAAAAAGAAAAGTTCCAAGTGCGCCCTTCAAAAGGAAACCAGCCACACCTGGATGGGACGAAGAATGCACAAAATTGTATGTAGAAAAATCTGATGCTTTCAAAGCTTTTCGTAGACACAACACCTCCACATACTTTGAGGAATATTCAAAGCTAGAGACAAAGCTGAAACAATTAATCAAAGCAAAAAACGCGGTTATTAGCGCAATTTCGTAGAGGGACTCTCACGAGAAACCTCAATGAACACCTTGTGGAGGATGGCTTCCGTAACCGCTCATCTTCTAATGAGAGTGAAGAAAACTCCAACCGATATTGGGTGGCAGCGGTAAACGCGTTTTAATTCATTTTTCTATTGGCAGCAAATGCCTTTGTGATTGTTTGTGATTGTGATACTATCGTGTGAACCTTAGAAATTTGCCAGTTGCATCCTCAACCCGTGCCAGATTACAGAAGCAAACGTTCAAATTGACGTTTTTGGACCTGTAAAAAAAATCTCTAGAGTAACCACTCCTATAGTTGAGAAAGTTCCAGTTCACAAGTAAAGTGAAGTAAAAGTAAAGTTCACCAAAACTGACAAACTATTCTGATACCCGATCCAATTTGGATCTGAAGAATAAAAACCGCTATAAGAAAGTGAAGTTCTCCAAAATCAGGAGAAGTGACAACAACACCGGAGGCAGGGACACCGAGTGACAGCAACGACATCAAGCGATTGAAACAACACCAGGCGATAGCAAAAGTCACATTTATCTGTAAGTCAATTTATTTTTCTCCTGTTTTCTCTCTCCTCGTTTAAAGATATTTTTTTTGTATCATCAAATACGTAGTTTTTTTTATATATACGTATGAGCTTACGAAGAATTCTTGAGTTGAGAAAAAGGGATATTGAAATCGGTGAAGAAGATAACAATAGTTCTTCAAGCACTGATTTTTTTTTATTCAGTTGAAAAAAACGATTCTGATTCAGATCTTCCGTCATTACCACTGATTCAGATTTATTAAGTTTATCATCAACAAATACTGTAACTAACAAAATGGTTTTGACGCCAAAGAAGCAAGGGAAGCTATCCCTAAGTTCAATGGCAAGAATAATTTTTCGCAATTCATATCAATTTGCGACGATTTTTTCCGTGATTTAGGAGCGGATGAAAATGACGCTGGGCTTGTCAGAGTCATTAAACAAACATTGAATAATGAGGCTTTTACATTATGTCGAAATTGAAATTGAAAAATATAATGAAATTACAACAACACTTTCAAAGAAGTACGGTGAAGATACTCCTTTGAGTGTATTGATTAGAGATATGGTAAACTTGAAGCAAAAAAGTTTCGAGGATGCCAAATCGTATGGAGATAGAGCAATTTTGCTCCAAGAGAAATTAAATATAATTTCTGAAGAGCTACTGAAACGCTCTAATTTGACAAATGACATTTATTCTAGAGTTATCCTTGAATACTTTATCAATGGTATTCAAATTAATGACGTTAAAAATATCGTTAAAGCTAATAATTTTTCTAGCTTGGCGAAAGCAGCGGAATATGCTGTTTCTCTAGAGACAAATTTTAAAAGTAGCCAAACAACGAAAACTTACCACAATAAATACAATACACATATGTGTAAATCAAATCAAAATAACAATAATTATGGCAAATCAAACTATCACAATAACTCACAAAATCATTTTCAAAATAAGAATCCAAAAACATATTTGGCACCCAAGAATGAAATAAAAACTGAGCTGGAAGTTCTGGTCATTTAGAATCGTATTGTCGATTCAAAAATAGAAATCAAATAAATATATTAGAATCAAAAAACCAAGGGGGACTTCTGAAAACGGGTCCGGACGACGGTCAAGAGTTATAGTTAATGAAATCACTCGGGATTTGATAATTCCGTTTGATAAAGTTAATTTCACGAATAGAGCACTTATAACTCTAAACGTAAATTTAACCAAAAAATCCCTAGTTTTTTTTTTTTCTTGCTTGACCCAAGAGCTAAAGTAAGTTAGAACGCTTTTAGAAAGCAAACATTGAATTTGTCTATCAAAAAAATTAATCAATCTAAACAGATTGAAATTTGTGGAGTCACTTCCGACGTTATAAGAACGATTGGTTCTGTAGAAATACCATTTCTATTTAATGATTTTGAGAGAAGATTTGAAATTTCTTTAGTACATGAGAATTTCCCAATTCCATGGGTAGTGATTTCTTCAAAAAAATAACCCATGTACTATTGATTATCGTCAAAACTGTTTTAAAATTTTTTAAAACAATGAATGTTCTTATATTAATGCCATGCCAGCAAAAAATACTGTAAAAATTCCTGCACGCAGTAAAATTAACAAATAAAAATTATTCAAGTAGATCAAGAATTAATTTGCCACTCAAAGCAGTTATTCAATAAATTAAATAAATTGTTTAGTTAAACCGTTTAATAACTTTGCATATGTTCCCATGTTTAACGGAACACATGATGTGGTGGAAGTTGATTTAAATTCAATTGAGTTAGAATCATTATCCGAATACTCTAAATTGGCACTCAAAAACAACTCAGAAAGAACAGATAAAATAATTGAAGGATTTAATTTTAAACTTCTGAATAATGAAGAAAAATCCTCAGTTTTAGAAATTATCAAAAATTATAATGATGTTTTTTATGTTGAAGGTGACAAATTAACAACCACCAATGCAACAACACATCAAATCAAAACATCTTGTGAAAAACCTATATTCACGAGGCTGTATAGGTTGCCAAAGGTGCATAAAGATGTCATCGATGGTGAAGTTAAAAAGATG